TGGACTCCAGAACCTTTAGTGCCTCCATCTGATGAAAATTTAAATTTAAAAACAAGAACAATAAGTGGGTAAGATTACTTTCATTTTCAAGCTTTATTTTTTGAAATCTAACCTTTTGTATTATCCTTTTCTATTTTAGCTTGTTTCTTGTAATTTAGATTGTAATACGTGACTACTAAATTTGTCTTGGTAAGCCTGACACGAGAAGTCACAGTATGTCATAAATTTCATCAAAAGTCATAAAAAGGACATTTTTATCGATTTTGGTAATTACTAGGCTGAAAATAACCTAAATTATACATTTTATCGTTGTATATTTTCCCTGAAGTAGATTTTTCCTTCTTTAGTTTTAAAGAATTTCTGCATTCATGTTTTCTTTTCTCTTCATCTCTTTCTCTCTCCTTCTCTGTTTTATAAAGACATAATTTGAAATGGTAGTCCAAGCAGGAGCTACTTTGACCCAACCTTATAAAGGGCTCTCTTTTTTTTAATGGTAATTAAAACTTTAAAAACAAGTTTATTTATTGTTCACTAAAGATGTCAATTTAGAACTAATGTTTATCAGAAAAGCTTATTGCAGTGAAACCTGCCAAGTTGACCACCCTACCACCCCCTCTATAAGTTGACCACTTGTCGAAGTTGACCGCTAAAACAATGCACCACAAGTGGTCTACTTACACAAGTTTTACTGTACTAACATTTCCTGTTTTACTATTTTAATTCTAAATTTAAATTTAAAGAGAAAAAAAATTGGCCAAAGCAGCCCTAGTATCCTACGGTTTAATAATATAACATTTATATTTATTAAATGTAGGGATTTAAAATTTTTAAGTTATGTAGCCTCCATTGTTTATTTTTTAAATAATGGGAATTTTCTGTAATGAAATAATTTTCGTGGTATTAATTTTTTTGGAAATAGATAAAAAGACAGTGCTGACTGTATTGCTTAGTTATTAAAAGAAAATAATAATAAAAGTTGATGCATCAAGTTAACAAAAACACTACAATCTGTATAATTTTAAAGTATTTATATAATTACAAATATGTTTTCGAAATTTTTAAGTAAAGAAATGACATGATCTTAAAGCCATGAAAAGTGTCCAACACCAAAAACATGCCACCTCTGCTGTAAGCTAATTAGTTTTCCTTGTGTGTATTGGTTTAAATTAAGTACCCAGACAAGGTAGAAATCATTTTCTATTTTTTTAGTCTGTTTTAGAATATTTAATGTAATTTTTTTTATTCTGTAGTTATTTTCTGCTGTTAATTTCGGATAATAATTTATTTTATTTGTTAATTTTCTTAACTTAATTCTTTTAGCAAAGTTGGGAAAATGGTAATTGTGGACGGTAAGAAATGTTTGAATGCTGCAACTCATAATTATTTAGGTTTGGTAGAGCATCCTAAACTAGAGGTACTTTTCTATTGTTTTTTTAAAAGAAATTTGTTCTCAATTTCATAAAATATATTACATGTTACTTATTTTTTATACAAAAAGTTTTAATTTAAACATATTTTGCAAGTGATGAAGAGAAATGGAGTGTAATTTTTTTATGAGAGGCACTTCAGTTTGAACTGAGCCTTGAGTTATTTTTTGCTACTTTGCACAAACTGATATAATTGCAGGGATCAATCCAGGATTAAACAACCCAGGATCAGCCAGGGTTCTCTTATTGGAAATTTATGAAAAAATATATATGATTTCATGGAAATTATTTTATCTAAAATCTCTAGTTCTATTTCTTTAAAATTTAGAAATTTCTAAAAAAAAAAACTAGGAATGTATGGGTACAAATAAAATTAAATGGACAATACTTTTTAGATAGATAAACAAATGCTAAAAAACTCTAGATAAACAAGACTGTCATGTTTAACAATCTTGTAATTAAATCTATATAAATTTTCTATTTGGAATAATAATTTTTTTTTCAAATCAAGCAATAGAAATGTACAATGTTGTTACAGTTTGGTACACATGGTTACAGTTTAATTCCTTTATAACTGCAGTGTAGTCAAACTCATTAATTACAAAATGGAAAAGGTGGTGTTAATTTATTTGTTAAATCATCAGCATGCTTGTCTAAGCTGAGTTGACTGAAATTGCAGGAAAATAAAACCAAAATTTCTTATACACCAAGATAAACTAGAAAAGTTTTACCTTTTATTATTTTTAATTTACCCTGCTGAGAAAAATGCATGATGTGTTATGGTTAAATCGTTCACTTATAAGTGCAATATATTTTAGGGTATAAAATACATCTCATATATTTATTAAACAGGGTGTGTATATTGATTCAGTATGTTTCTTAATACTTTTAGAGGTTATCTATTACAATTAGCAATTATGAAGAGAGTTGTATACATTGGCAAAATACTGTGTGTGTTTGTCTGATTGGATTTCAATGTCTCCAATTATAACTTTATTATTCAGAATTTATTCTAAAGAAATGTCTTCAGAGCTGAAAAAAATTCAGACCCACTTACGGGGTGTAGCACAGAGAATCAGCGAGTACAACCTAGTAATGTTCAAGTTGTGGGGAAAGGTTATTTCGATTATGTCAACCTTCATCTATCAAAAGATAGAATAGAGTTAACATATCTTATATACTAGTGAACTGATGTTTAATAATTAGTGTGGTAGTTACGTCACTGAGTTAACTTTGTTCCCAGACGTGTGCTACTAGTTCATTATTTTAGTTCTTTTAATGTTTTAATGTACAAATGGAATAATTTTTTATCTATTTCAAATACATTCCTGTAATACTTCGTATTTATTGTAATATCTCTTATTCATTTTTTAGGAAGCCGCCTTACAATGTTTAAGAAAATACGGTGTGGGTTCTTGCGGACCTCGGGGCTTCTATGGAACTGTTGGTAATGTTCAAAACAAAACAATTATTTTAAACAAAAGAGACTGCTCTATTATAAATCTATAATGCATATAGGAAGAATTTAGTGGAAGAAAGTATCAAGTGTCATTCTGAAAAATTTCAGAATTTATCTTGCTGCTATATTTTCTAAAGCTGATGTTCCTAAATTCCCAAAAATGTTGCTGAGAATGTTCTTCCTATAAGCACTTGAATTATTGTCATTAGTCAGGATGTCTTTGGTGATATAATGCTGAATAAAGTTACCCTATTTGATTTCTGCTTCACACTGACTACTGAATTGATGTACAAAATATTCCCATTGATTGGCAGGTTCCGTATTTAAATCCTCTTTTTGTTGGGCTAGCCGTCGTAAGTGATATCTGTAGTTTTTATTACTGAGTAACGCAAACACTGATTACAAAATATACTCCCACAAAGGTGAGTTTGTCCTTATTCTTGATCCAGGAGTTCCTATGTGATAAAATACAAAGCTCTAGGTGCTCTAGGTGATGTTCAAAAATACAAAGCTGCCGAGTTGTAAATCTGAAAAGAATCACCTGTTCAATGATAATTAAAAAAAATTTGGTTATCTATAATAAGATTATCTTTTGCATTTATTATTTACTACTTTTACATTTTGTACCAGACTAAAAGCAAGACCCTTTTTTCACTGCTGAGCGCAAGGTAAAATCACAATCATTTTTATTCTTCCAGGGGAAAAAAAGCTAGAGGAGCTGAAATTCTTCAATGAAATTTTTGCTCTGAAAATTTCACTATTCCAAACCAAAAAATTTCTTCTGAGATTTTATTAGAATTGCATCCAGTAGAATTAATGCTTAGTCTACCAAAATCATTTTACTAGGTTACCACTTTCGTAAAATTAACATGACATGTTTACTAAGCTTGCAAATTTCTAAAGATACAACAATGAGGTTTTGCATGGTGAACAATTTTTTGAACTAAATTTTATTTTCAATTTTCACGTCGATCAGGGTTATAAGAAATATAGTTCATTTAAATGTTTAAGTAAGAATTGACAATGTGACTTGTTTGAGTTTGTTTATAAAAAGGGACCTTTACATACCATTTGGGCTTATTATTGTTAAAATATTTTTTATTTATTTATTTTGGAAAAATTATTGTTTTGATAGGTACAGCTCTCAAATTAAAAAACGGACCAGCCTGAATAGCTTTTGATCTAATTATCAGATCTTTACGTTCTGGGATTCATTCTTAATGGTTCAAGGGAGTGACCTCAAATATGCTAATTAATTAGCGTGGATGATTTTTTAAGTAAAGAAATTTGACACAAAAACATACTTTCTCTGAATTATACATACCTTTTTTTTTTCAAGGGATTGAGATTTCAAACCCCCAAAATATATAGGGTGTTATTATTTTTGCTAAAACCTAGTATGCAATCTTTTTTAGTGTTAAAATATGTATTTTACTTTTTCGGTTATGTGTTTTTAAATATCAGGCGTGAGATTCGTCTCATTTTTGGTAGAATTTACAACTTTTTTAACTTTAGAAAAAATTAACAAAATTTAATTTTAGAAGAAATTCTAACTATATAAATTTCATTGTCATTTTATTCGTTTTAATCAGGATTTATATATGAAGCTTAACAGTTTGTTGGATTGTCAATATACATATATAGTAAAAAATAAAATTATTAAATAAGGATGTAAACCGTTTAAACATTTTCTTTTTGTGCAAAATAGTTTTACTCACCTTTTTTCATGATTTGTGAGTCGATAGGTATTTCTTTCTCTTTCTCTCTTCCTTATCCCCAAAATTAGCA